CAGGGCAGGGTCTGAAAACAGGTGCATGGCGGACAGGCATATTCTTTTTACAGGGCAGGGTCTGGACCAGGGCAGATTCTACAGGGCAGTTGGCTGGGACAGGTCAGTTGCTTACATCAAGGGCCTTACAGTCAGGCTGACAGGGCATGGTTTGCATGGGCAGGTGCTGTACAGGGCAGGGCTGAACAGGGCAGTGCTGTACCAGGGGAGATCTAACAGTGGCAGTGCTTACAGTTCTAGGCTACAGGCAGTGGCTTACAGGGCAGTGCTGGACAGGGGCAGTTGCTGGACAGTGGGCGGCTTTTCATGGGGCAACGTTCTGTCAGGGCAGGTTCTGACAGTGCAACGGCTTGCCAGGGCCATGTCTTGACAGGTGCAGGGGCTGCAGTCAGGGTCTGGGAACAGTCAGGGGGCTGTTACAGTGCAAGGGTCTTTACCATTTCAGGGGCGTGCAGTCAGGGCTTGGGACATGTGCAGGGGCTGGACATGGGCAGGCTGCAGGCCATGCTGGGACATGGCAGGGTGCTGGACAGCTCAGGGCTGGACAGGGAGGGTTTGTACAAGGCAGGGCTACAGGGCAAGTCTGTGGACCAGGCAGGCTGAGGCAGGGGGGCTGACAGGCAGGGGCTGCATGCGGCTGCGCTTTCCTTCCTCCTCGCTTCTGCATAGGGGTTAAATAAACGTACAGAGGGACTTTCAGAACACGCCAACATTTAGAGCTGCCTGTTGTAGGAAACCTTTGCTTTCCTCTCTTTCATTCTCTCAAAACGTATCGGAGTGGCTTATAACCAGTCAGTAACAAAGTCTTTTAAAATGTTAAAAATTTGTTTTGAAAAATCCTGGAGGTTTCCTTTTCTTTTCCTTCTAACTTTTTAAGTATTCCCCCTTGAAATTTATTTTCATGAAGATTCCTTTAGAAGACTGATTTGAAGAAAAATTAGTAATCTGAGGAAAGTTCCCTTTTTTGTAATAAGCGCACATTTTTTTAAGCGGAAGCACAGTTTCTTTTCCTGCGCTGCCACTTCAGAATCGGCCAGTGCACCCTCTCATTATTACACAGCAGGAATCTCTGACCCAGTTACACGGTGGGCGGTTTTTGAAAACGTTTCACAGAGCCAGGCCGCGCGGGCTGTGCACGGCGCAGCGTGGAGTCCTGGTGTGAGTCGGGTCCGTTGTGTTAAGAGCCAGTCCCGCCCCACCGGCGGCAGTCGACAGCTGACCCAAAGAATGTTCTAGTAAGAGCCCGGCCCCCACAGGAGGCCGACGCAGAGGGTGTCCGTGACGTGTCTTCCTGTGCTCCCTCCCGCAGCGGCTTCACGATCGAGCTGGCCTCGGCCTTCACGGTGGTGATCGCCTCCAACGTGGGCATTCCCGTGAGCACCACGCACTGCAAGGTAGGCCCCGCCGGCCCGGCCGGTCCGTGGCCGCTGAGCGACGGGCAGAGAAGCCGGTGGCGCCCTGCCAGGTGGCTGTCGCCTCCAGGTCCTCCAGGCCTGCTGTGGCACTCGATGGCTGTGGCACGACGTGCTTTCTCCAAGTGCCTCCCCGCCTCGGTCCTGTGCCCGGCCGGGCGGCGCCTTCCCTCCTCAGGCTGCTTCCCCTCGGCCCTGGCTCCCGTTCCTCTCGTTGCCTCCACGTGGGGTGGGTTTCGCGTTGAGGTCACGCGTGCGCCAGCCGTGTTCGTGGGCTTGCTCGGGGGTCACTGCAGGCAGGGGCTCAGAGCTGACAGTAGGGACAGAAATAAACAGAAGTCACCTCGGTGGAACCGGAAGTTACACGGCTGCCCCGGTGGTTTTTCCCTGCGTGATTTCCAAAGCGACTGTGTTGCCTTGGAGAAAATCCCACGTGCGGGGTAATTCCTGGCCCTGGCCACAGCCAAGCGCTGCGAAGCCCAGAGCCGTGCAGGAGGGAGCTCCGTCCTGGTGGGGAACATTGCCGAGAGGAGGAACCTGCAGCCCGAGAACAGGCTCCACGAGCTGCAGCGAGTTATCCGAGGTCAGCCAGGACTGGAACCCGGCTCCCAAGAGCCAGGCCTGCCCAGTGTCTGGAGGCAATTCTAAAATGCCTACAGTGGCCCTTCTGCATGCAAAACTGCTCACCAATCTCCACAAATCAAAAGCCACTTCCAGGTTTTTCCTGGGTTTGTTCGTTGATACTGTTTCAGAAAAACATACTTGTGCCCCCCCGTGTGTCTGAGCCAGGAGGAGCTCGGCTGCCGAGGCCGCCGCCGCAGCCAGCGAAGTTTACTTACCCGCAGTTTTAAAATTCCAACCCACGTGTTTATAAACAAATGCCAACTAAATGCAGCTGGCTGAGGGTTTCCAGCACTGAGGCCAAGGAGCGCGTGGGGCAGCTAAGACAAGGCTGGGGCTCAGGTGCAAAGAACCAGTCTCAGTGGAAATAATTTGGTTTTTCCTTTTTTGCTACAATATATATATAAAAAAACTTAAGTGCCTGCAAATTTCCATTATAAAGATGACTTCCAGGCCAGGCACAGTGGCTCATGCCTGTAATCCCAGCACTCTGGGAGGTCGAGGCGGGCGGATTGCTCTAGGTCAGGAGTTTGAAACCAGTCTGAGCAAGAGCAAGACCCCGTCTCTACTATGAATAGAACAAAATTATATTGGCCAACTAATATATATAGAAAAAGTTTAGCCAGGCGTGGTGATTGTCCAGCTACCAGGGAGGCTGAGGCAGGAGGATCGCTTGATCCCAGGAGGTTGAGGTTGCTGTGAGCTAGGCTGACGTTCACGGCACTCACTCTAGCACTGGGCAACAAAGCGAGCTCATGTCTCAAAAAAAAAAAAAGAAAAAAAAGTGCATGTGCACTGAAATATTCCAAACATGCAAAACTATACAGAATGAAAAGTGACATCTTCCCTCTTCACCTCACTTCAATTCACTGTGATATGTGGGAACAGAGAGGAAATGCATGTTGCTAAATATATTCTTTCCCAAGGAAATAGGCTTAGGCTTGTAACTCTTCTGTAGGCATAAATAATCTTTTGCACTGCTTCTTCTTCTTTTTTTTTTTTTTTTTTTTAGACAGGCATGGCTTCCTGCAGCCTCCAATGCCTGGGCTGAAGCAGTCCTCCTGCCTCCCGAGTACCTGGGCTATAGGCACAAGCCACCACACCCAGCTAATTTTTTTTATTTTTTGTAGACACAAGGTTATTGCCCAGACTGGTCTCGAATTCCTGGCCTTCCACCTCGGCCTCCCAAAGTGCTGGGATTACAGGCATGAGCCACCACACCCAGCCTTGGGCTGTTTTTAAATAAATATAACACTGTCTTTTTAATGATTACCCTGCACTTAAGCAAACTCTTTCATACAAGTTGAAAGATCTCATAAAAAATCAGCAGAAGTTTGGTTTTTCTAGGTTGCCGTTAACTTGCTTACCTAACTGCATTAGCAATTGAATCTGTACTAATGTATAAAGTATTAAAACTGACAATACTAATTGTGCTAATTATATGCTAAACTAACTACAAATTATGAAAATACAACAGAAAAGACATAAAAATTGTATTAAAAAAAAACAAAACTCTTAGATTATCTTTAAATGTTGTTTCCCCAATAGTGTATTTCTATGTATACTATAATAAGGAGGCCGGGCGCGGATAGGCTCACGCCCCTAATCCTCAGCACTATCTGAGGAGGCCGAGGCGGGACGGATTGCTGAAGGTCAGTGAGTTGAAACCACCCTGAGCACGAGCGAGGAACCCCGTCTGCTACTATAAAAATAGAAAGAAATTTATGGCCAACTAATACTATAGAAAAAAAAATAAGACCGGAGCATGGTGGCGGCATGCCTGTAAGTACCCAGCTACTTGGGAGGGGACAGAGCAGGAAGATCGCTTGAGCCCTGGAGTTTTGAAGGTATGCTCGTGGCTAGGCTGGATGCATAGCACATCCACTCTAGCCTGGGCAACAAAGTGAAGACTTATAGTCTTCAAAAAAAAATAAAAAATAAATAAAATTTCAACACACCATAAATGAACTGCAAGTGTTTAGAAAAATACTTGAATTGGGGTTGACATTCTGATTTTCGGATATCTAATTTTGTGAGTCATGATTGACAGTTTAGATTCAATAATATTTATCCTCCTTTTTATTTATTCATTTGTTTATTCTCATTAGCTAAAGCTTAAGGGCTGCAGAGATGATAAAGCCAGTTTAAATCAAGAGTCCTGAGTTCTAGTTCTCAACCTGCCCCTGATTCACAGTCTGCCCTCCACCCCCCCAAGGCGATCCTGTTTTACCCTGTGCAGAATGAGTCCACTGGATCAGATGTTTCCAAAGTCTTCTCCAGCTCCAACACTTCACGTCTCTGTTATTCTAAGAGAAAGGTTCATTACTGCCATTTCCTCATGCAAAAAAAAAAAAAAGCAGGTTCCCATATTGTGATAAGCAATAAGCCATGAGGAAATATTTAAAACAAGGACATTCGCAGTTCATTGATGAGGTTTAGCGAGAATAGAAACCACTGACTTGGCCTAACTTCCACGCAAATAGAGCAGGGTATAGGTAGGAAAGTGCATCAGAACCGTATACTGAATAAAGCAATCCCAAAACAATTAAACCTAAAACCTCAACCGTTTTAAAAGCGTCGCCAAACTTAGGGGAAAGATTCGGTCATTTTATGACGTAGCTTGTTTCCGGGATTAACCCATGTACACGGGTGGAACAGCACCTGCGTTGTCCCGCGTGTAACTCGCGGCCTCTCTCCCGCAGGTGGGCTCGGTGGTGGCTGTGGGCTGGATCCGCTCTCGGAAGGCCGTGGACTGGCGCCTCTTCCGGAACATCTTCGTGGCCTGGTTCGTGACGGTGCCCGTGGCCGGGCTGTTCAGCGCGGCCATCATGGCGCTGCTCATGTACGGGGTCCTGCCCTACGTGTGACCTGTCGTGCTGCGGCCGGAAACAGCTAAAGGGACGGTCCTGGCATGGCCGTGTGGCAGGCGTGTGCCCCCGTGGCGCTCACACGTCCCCCCCCCCCGGCCACACGTGGCTCTCCCGTGACCAGCTCTCCACGTCCCTCTGGCAGGGTTCCCCGCCAGGCCTCTCTCCCGGGCTGCGGGGACTCTGCTTCCAGGCTGACTTGTCTGCTGTACATAACAATGTGCATCGCACGGCGTCGTGGTGACATAAAGTGGTGCGGTTACTTACATACTAAATATATGCTGTATACGTAGAGTAGCTGGCACTGTTCCCAACACACTCAAAACGGGAGTGGAGATCATTGCCTAGATTCAATATTCCGTCAATCTTGTACATAAACGATTTCAGTGGTGACTTTTAAGAGCCTTTTAAAAGGAAAGTTTTGATTGGAAAATGATTTTTTTCCCCCAGATGATACATTTCCCTTCTGAGATATATATATATATATATATACACACACCATAAGATAAGTGAGAAACTGGCCGGGCGCGGTGGCTCACGCCTGTAATCCTAGCTCTCTGGGAGGCTGAGGCAGGTGGATCGTTTGAGTTCAGGAGTTCGAAACCAGCCTGAGCAAGAGCGAGACCCCCGTCTCTACTATAAATAGCAAGAAATTAATTGGCCGACTAATATATATAGAAAAAATTAGCCGGGCATGGTGGCAAATGCCTGTAGTCCCGGCTATTCGGGAGGCTGAGGCTGGAGGATCCCTTGAGCCCAGGAGTTTGAGGTTGCTGTGAACCAGGCTGACGCCACGGCACTCACTCTAGCCTGGGCAACAAAGTGAGACTCTGTCTCCAACAAAAAAAACCCACAAAAGATAAGTGAGAAACAGACGGGGATACCAGCCTGGGGGGAGGTGAGGGGGTGGCAGGTCAGCGCTCTGTCAGCGCCCGGACGAGGTCACAAGTGCGTTCTCTGAAGAATTCGTTCGTATACTGTGTATGGATTATTCTGTAATATATCACCATTGCTTTTGTAAATACTTAAAACTGTTTTAACTTTTTTAATGATGTGCTTCCCTTAATACTTTTTTGATCAGAGAATTTCGGAAAGTACCAAAGATGCAGGGGAATCGTTTGCCAGTATTATCCCGTTGTCTGTCTCCCTCTTCTCGGGTCCCTGCGGCTCCCGGGTGGGGCAGGGCCACCGAGCGCCCGGACACCAGCAGACCCCGCGTCAAGCCCAGTTTCGGTTTTCACCCCCGTCCCCTCCGCGGCCTGAAGAACGGAGTCCCCATGTCTAATGTCAAAGCAGACGACTGGCTTTCCATGTGCTTTGACGTCGCAGAGATTCGGGGTGGGGGGAAGAGAGGTGGAATATTAGAAAATACACTGGACTTGAGCATTTCTCTGAGGCCTTCGCTGAGCTGGGCGTCCTGATGTTCTACTGTAATCCCACTGGGTTCTCTGTTCTGATGGCGGGAGGGAGAAAGCACGACTAATGTTAGAGCCTGAAACTATGGAAATGCTGCTAAAATTTTTATATTGACATTTTCTTGGTACTTCATTGTGATTTTTTCATTAATCAGCCACATTAAATTTATAATAAAAAGTGCCCCTCAAAAGTTTGCCTCTGAAGTCTTTTTCTAAATATGTAAAATGTTTTCAGAGTTTCCACAATAATAAAACTATATAATTTGGTCACTTGCATTTTTCAAATACCTTTTATTGGTTTTTTTTTTTCCAAATACCTTTTATTTTTTTCCCCCTTATTTTACTACTACTACACATTTGTGCATAAAATGCACATGAGCATAATAAGAGAAACTTCTTGGTTAAAAAAGAAAGAAAAGAATTAAAAAATTAAATTAAAAAAAACAAAAATAAATAAAAAAATACACATGAGCGGGAAAAGGAAAGAGTGACGCGGTGCTGCCGCCCACCCAGGTTCACTGCCCGAGAGGCTGATACACCGAGACCGCAGGGCTCACAGCAGAGAAAGGGTGAATGTCGCAGGCGCCCGTGGGAGGACACAGGAGTGATTTCTCAAATCCATCTCCCTGAACATTTGGGAGAAAGGGTTTTTAAAGACAGTTTGGCGGGCACAAGGCCAGGCAATTGGGTCTGCTAATCGTCTGGGTTCGGGGCAGAAGCACAGAGGTGTAGAGTCTGTCTTCTTTGCTGGGTCGGTTCTTGGGTGGGCGTCGCGATACCCGTTGAGTCAGCTCCTGGGTGGGCCACCAAGGTGGGCGGGCTCACTGGAATGCAGGGCCAGGAAGGTGTCTCAGAAACCACCTTTAGGTGTCAAAAGGTGCTGTTATGGGGAGAAAGCTAAGAGTCTTTATGACCGCCAGCCCTTTGTCCATTTGTGCAGGGCGGTTTCAACATCTTAATGTGACACAGTAGTCACCTCCTCCACAGGCAGGGAAGTGTAAGACTGAGTGAGACTGAGAGTGGGGCATGACGGGTGGAAAGGGCCTGACAAAAGGGCAAAAATATTTTGTCCCTTTAAAACGTCCTCCTTTTTGAAAACTAAAGCCTGTATCCCTGCCTCAGGCCAGTGGTTGGGAGGGGCAGGGAGGAAGCCTTTTGTTCTTATCCCAGGCTGGTGCCAGCCCCCCAGGTGGACCCAGTGGGCTTTGGCAGAGATGGGACAATTAGGGTAGTTAACCACCATGCCTGGAATTGAGGGCACTCCCTTCAAAAGCCCTGTCTTTCTGCTTAACAAGAAGGTCTACCATTTCCCCCTCCCTTATTTTATGTAAAAATGTAGGTTTCTTGGGCCTCCCAAAAATGCAGCCACTACCTCCCCTGCATTTTCCTTCTCTCTGTATGCCTTTAAAATGCTGAAGGTCCCAAACTCCCCTTCAGAAAAAGCTGCAGCTTCTCTGCGGTCATCTTTTCCCCAGACATGTCCTCAAAGTCTTGGCTCAATAAACCTCCATTGATTGAGATTTTTTTTTGCCTCAGTCATTTATTTGGGTTGACATGGGTGATATATCTGAGGAAAGAAGAAAACTTAAGTTACTTTCTTCTCTTTAGCTGTTTAAAAAAAAAAAGTATGATAAGAATGGTTTTTAAGAAAATGGCAGCAAAACAGAGGATTGGAAATACTGACCTGGCACCCTCACGGTGCTCACGTCATGGGTAACAGAGACAGAAGGTGGGTGACACAAGAGAAACGCATGGGGGTAGGAAGAGAACGTTCACTATTTTAGAAAGCAAGCTGCAGTTGAGGCCTGTTGCTCTAGGCAGAGGCTTGTTAAGAGTGATAGGGGCCGGGCGCGGTGCTCACGCCTGTCATCCTAGCACTCTGGGAGGCCGAGGCGGGCGGATCACTCAAGGTCATGAGTTCGAAACCAGCCTGAGCAAGAGCGAGACCCCTGTCTCTACTATAAACAGAGAGAAATTAATTGGCCAACTAATATATGGAGGAAAAAAATTAGCCAGGCACGATGGCACATGCCTGTAGTCCCAGCCACTCGGGAGGCTGAGGCAGCAGGATCGCTTGAGCCCAGGAGTTTGAGGTTGCTGTGAGCTAGGCTGACGCCACAGCACTCACTCTAGCCTGGGAAACAAAGCGAGAGTCTGTCTCAAAAAAACAGTGGTGGGAGCAGGTGTAAGCAGGACACCACTGTTGAGGGCAGGGAAGGCAGCCGTAGGGAAGAGTCCCAGCGTGCATGGAACTCAGCCTCCACCTGAACAGGGGTGACCTGGCGCTGTAGAGAGAAGGAGGGAGGGAGGGCTTGGCCACGCAGAGCCCGTCTGGGTTTGCCGCCTGGCCTGGTTGGCGCTTGTCCAAGTCAGGCTCCTGCCCACCGGTAGGATAAATGCTTAGTTTCTGTGGCATTTGGGCTCCCCCCATGATGCTCGCTCGCCGGACCCGTGTGCCGGAACGCCCCCAAGCCCACGTGCCGCTGCCTGTTTCCGGCCATGCTGCTTGCATGATCCTGATTGGGTAATTTTTGAATCCCACTGTTTTTGATTGGATGTTCAAGCTTGTTGCTGATTGGATGTTAAAGCTTGTTGCGATTGGATGTTAAGTTAGGCTGGGGACAGGGACCCTGCCTTCCGCTGTTGCCTGGAACAGACAGTCAATTTGTTTGGCAGCCTTGTGTTTCCTCAGGCAGGTACTTTAAAGGGGGGCTAGCGCCCTGGGAGGGAGGTGGCCTTGAGCCGATGGAAATGATGTTAGCGTTTTGTTCAGCTCTTTCCAGGCTGAGGTTGAGGTCTAGCAGCGAAAGGGCTCAGAGGACCCTGGCCAGAGTTTGGTTGAGGAGAGGAACTTTGTCCAGGCCAAACAGGGAGTGACCCGAGGAAAAGGGCCTGGGGGAGGCGACCTCCACACGCCCTTTTTTAGGGTCAGGGTCCCCGCGTGGAACTGTTGCCTGATTTTTCAAGGGAAACCTAATGTCTTGATTTGATGTGATCTCTCCTGATTTTGAATTTTGACCAATTAAAACACATTTCAGGTAGCTGTAGCCCCGCAAAACATGTCTTAAGACCATGATCCTCAGAGCTGGAACCCGTACTACTAAGTGAAGTATCCCAAGAACGGAAAAACAAGCACCACGTGTACTCACCAGCAAACTGGTATTAACTGAGCAGCACCTAAGTGGACATATAAGTACACAAGTGGACACATAAGTAATAGGGTATTGGGCATGTGGGCAGGGGGCGGGTGTATACGTACATAATGAGTGAGGTGTGCACCATCTGGGGGATGGTCACGCTGGAAACAGACTTGGGGGAGGGGGGAAAGGGCATTTTTTTGAAACCCTAAAATTTGTACCTCCATAATATACTGAAAAAAAAAAAAACCTATCTAAAAAAAAAAAAGACCATGATCCTCAATATTCTAACCCTGCTGTAGGAGAAAATAGAAAATATCTCTTGGGTAGAGGATCACTGCTTTACTTAGGAAAACGTGCAGACGAATCTTTTTTTATAGAGCTAGTCGGTACTGCTTGGTTGTTCTACATAACGTAGGATAAATGCTTCATTTCTGTGGCATTTGGGCTCCCCCCCACGATGCGGAAAA